TATATTACGAATTTAAGAACGTAGGTACCTACCAACAAACAAAACAATAACAAGCGCGGCCGGCTGTGGCCGAGCCGAGTATTTATAAGCGGTACATTTGTTATTACATTACATAATTATTAATAATAAATTAATATGTAAATCAGTACAACCCGAAGTCTAAGTTGATATTTTTAAGAATTATCAAACAAGAAAATCAATAAAAGATCCATTAAAGTACATAATATTTACATTACCTACCTTTGACTTGGGTCAATTCTCGTAACTTGAGTACTGCCTATGGTCATTACCTGAATCTAGTCGTTGTAGGACACATTTTTGCGAAAACTTACTGTTTTTAACTTTCAACAAACACAAAAAATTATCTATTATCAACACAAACTTCACAATCGAATAATATAGGTACTTGTACTAGACACTGATAAACAAATACACTATTTGAAAAACCTACACATACATTTAACTACTTCTACACATATTTATGCAACTTTATGTTTAAAACTAATTCCTTATAATTTAAACGAAAACATAAACAAAGCGATCGCACATCACATGAAAACAATATGGCCGAAAACATTGGAATGAATGAACCCATCGTAGTCAATTGAGTGTTTATTATAAAAAAATTATAGCTATAACATTAAGGCAACCCAGTGTTTAATTATAAAAAAACAAAACGTTAATTTACATAAGTCAAATGGAATTCCGTCATTGTCTTATTATTATTTTCCAATAAGAAACATTCGTTGATAACAATTTGAAACTTTGCAAAAGTTATTCCTCACAATTTCAAAAGTTATTCCTTTTAACTTTTAAAATAATAAAGTCAACTCCTCGTTTAAAGTTTCTATAAACCGACAACGCGTAAAAATGTTAAGATTTAATTAAAATACCTGAAACATATTTTTTTAGTATGCATAATTATAAAATGACATTCGCATTTATCGAACGTGTTCAGAAGTTTTAACAAAAAATTCAATAGATGGCGCAGATTCAAAGGCCGGCAGCAATGACTTTTTTGCGTTTATGAATGGTTATTCTCTGCTGTGGCCATAGTCACGTGACCTTCACGCATGCGCGTTGCATACTTTTTGTGACGTCACAACCAACAACCAAGATTTAAGGAATAGTAGCGCATGCGTGGTGCGTGCGGGGCGCATTCATTGCTTTACAAAGGAGTGCGGTCCGTGTATAGTATATGTGAATGTATATTTATGTTAGCCGTTTTTTTACAAACTTTTATTTTATTATTGAATCTTAATAAACGCGTTTGTATATTTTATGTCAAGCAAAGCCTTTTTGCCTATATGGACTGCACGCCACTGGCAGCTACAGCTGTATATACAACGTGAAATCTATTTCGTATTCGTCCCGCGGCAAAATAACTTTTCTTAAGGAGTACTTTCGATGTACCTATAAAACAAAAAAATATAGATGTGTAGGGTTGCTGTTCTTGATGATTATTTATTAGCAACTTCACTGTTACATAAATTTACTATAAACTAATCGGTATAATTGCAACCCTTAGTGGATTCACTTCGTTGCGGGAACCAAGACAGTTACTCATGTCCCTGGGACGCGCCGGACTTCAATGTTCCGGTGTTTTCATGGTTGTATCTACTGTAGATCCTGGCTTACAGGAGTTGCAGCGGTTTTGGGAGGTTGCGGCAGGCTTGTCCCAAAAAAAACCCTTAGTGGAGGGATGAAAGGGACTGCGTGGCTATCGTCTTTCTGACCTTCCTAACTGGCTAATTCCAAGACCGCTAAGCTATCGAACTGGAGTTAATCGTACTTAGGTTCAGAGAAGGCCGCTAGGCTACCGATTACTTATCCTCTAGCTAGTAGAATGATAATTTGTTCGAAGACAACTCTGCTTATTCAGGCGGATGGTTGGCATGTGTGCTCAATCTTCATAATACATAGTTGTTTGTAGTTGTAGTTGTTTTGGATATATATTTTACTAGATGGCGCTGGGTGTTTGTTACAGATGTAATTTTTTTGTTGTCAAAATCTATTTCGTTTTCGTCCCGAAGTAAAATGGTTCTGTCTCGGTAGTACAATAGTTAGACAAAGAAATATAAAAGGTTAAAACAAAAAATAATTAGTGAACCATTGCAAAACGCAAACTGCGAAAGCGCATACGACCTCATAGTACATTATCAAAACGAAGAAGAGATATTTCTCGTCGGGTGGCACGTGCGATGCGAATAGTGCCTACAAATTTACATCTAGTGTTTCATGTGCGTATTTTAATATTAATTTCTTTCTAAACTAAAAAAATGATATCCTTATTTTTTGGTTTTTACTTTATACATCGATAGTACCTACTCCTTATGACAAGGTTTGCCGCGGGATGAAAACGTAATAAATTTCACGATGTGTGTTGTAATACAACAAAGGGTTTTAGCTTTTAACACATTTTGTCATTATTATTATTGCTGTGTTAACGCCTATTTCGTACTGGACTGGGTTGGTTATTTGTTTTAATAAGTATTTATATGGTGAGGTATTTTCATTATTTTATTGTATATAAATTGTATATATTGGTTATTATATTGGTTGCTGGTTTAATTGTCGTTGGTTTTTTTGCTAATACATAAATATATTATATCTTAATCTCTATAAATAGTTATATAATCTAAAACTAGTAAAATAAGTATTTTAAATCTGTTAAAGTAGATACAGAAAATATTAATAACAATCATTACTTTTTGTAATCATAACTAGAGTGAGGTTATAATGTAGGAAATAATTTTATTAAAACCCCTTTTGGAAACAAACAGCTTTAATAAATACTTCCACTAATAAAAAAATACCTTTTACACAAAAACCACTAGAAAACTACACATAAGTAAAACCACAACTTTTGAAGGCATCAATAATAACCAATCATTTTTAACCATAAAACTTGTGGTTGCTGACAACCATTAAACATTGTTGTTTCGTTAGTAGCGACACTGAGAGTGCTGTGGGAGGGCGGGAGAGGTCGCGGCTGGCTGGCTTGAGTGCTCGAGTGAGGGCAGTTCTCCCGAGGGCCAAGGATAAGGTGCAGGCTACTGAGGCGCAGACTGTTGATGCTGAAGAGAAGGTTGGTTAACATAATTATACTTTACATAACATAACATCACTTTCTTTATCCCCGAAACGGTAGGCAGAGGTGCACATTACGGCACTTAATGCCACTGTACAATGTAACACCCACTTTTCATTATATATGTTATGAGTCCCATGTAATAGGGGGTGAGCATATAGCCATATACCGGACACAATTCCAAAAACCGTGCTACCACTGAGAATTTTTTGTAAACCTAAACGTAAAAATCAACGCAGTAATTTACTTGCTTCCACTACTAAAATAACAATTTTAACTCCCCAGCCTCTCTCAGACGACAAGAAGGGCGTAGTATACGCTGAACTGGCGCTCGGTGAACAGACCTCAACTGAGAAACCACCCCCTCCGTCCACGGAGTACGCAGAAATCGTATACACAGACCAATCGAAAGATAACAAAGAGACCAACTAGATTATAAAATAATAACCAACCATATTTCTATTTAAAGGATAAAAAAACCAACTGCTAAGAATAACCAACTAAATTATATTTTCTTCTTTCTTATTACTGGTTACGTTAACCAGTTATAAGTTTGTGGTTACAAATAACCAAAAGCTTTGGTTTAAAAAAATATTGACGTTATTATTTCGACTTATGGTTATTTCTTTATAACCTATGTTTCAAAGAGTTCTTTTTTATTTGCTATCTGTAAAAAAACCATTGGTTTCCCAACCATAAGGTTCAAAAATTTACCTTAAGTAAATCGGAACCATAAGTTTCTTCATATTAGGTTTATTTAATTGATTTTCTAAGTAAAACAAAAGACGTAGATAGTATTTTAATTACGAAATTCTACGCTACAGAATAAAATTAAGCATTTTTAGAATATTTTCTTTAAACGAAGTCGTTCCATGAAATAACTTTACCTACTGTATAATAAAATTTCATCAATCACAAAAATGAAATAAAAAGGGCGCGATGTTTATTGCTTTTTACTCGAAGATGATGTGTCGTCTTCATACAATACATAATCATAAATATCATTCACTTATTCATATTTTAAAATCATTTCATTTATCGTCATTCTTTATCTTTGGTTCATTTCATTCATCTCACAATCATGACAAAATCATCATCTCTATAAAATCCCTGAATCTCCAATACCCAAAAGGCCGGGAACGCACTTGTAACGCCTCTGGTGTTCCAGGTGTCCATTGGGGCATTGGCGACGTTGATTGCTTACCATCAGGTGATCCGTCTGCTCGTTTACCGGTTAAAAAAAATAGGCAACTGCATGCCATATTTTATTATATTAACTCACTTAAAAAACACATTTAGATAATTCGTTTTCATCATTACATTAATTCATTTTTATCATCATGCGTACAGCCACATACCGTCCACTGCCTCACACAGTCCTCCCCCCAATGACTACATCGCGAGGTCGGAAGCGACCTGCATACAGTGACTGTCGCAGACCTTTATACACAGTCATGTATTGAGATTATACTGAGCTCTTCTCAATATCTTCATGTGAATAACCCGTGATTTTAGTTCGTTTATGTCTCACAATAGTTATTATAAAAACCTTAATACACTGAGCGTTAGCTTGCAAACCATTTGCAGAAATAAATAATATAATTTATCATCTACGACATAATAATTGCATTGTCAAAATACTAGCGATCGTGGACTGGTCGATCTAATTATAATGTAGAAATAGCTACTTCCGCGCGGTATCACGCTCTGCTCAGCTCCTATTGGTCGTAGCGTGATGTTTTATAGCCTATAGCCATCCTCGATAAATGCGCTATCCAACACAAAAAGAATTATTCAAATCAGACTTGTAGTTACGGAGATTAGCGCGTTCAAACAAACAAACAAAAAAACAAACACTTCCGCTTTATATAATAAGTATAAGATTAGAGCTTATAGGACGACGTGCTTCATCGTAAGCCAGCATCATCGCTTCCCACCAGCCGAGATAGTGGGCTACACCCATCAAATACATAAAAAAATCATTGATTATCATAATACATTCATTTTCATATCATTCAACATCCATTATCATTCACACCGATACGACCTTCAAAACTTCAAGAAAAGAGCATATTTCTTTTTAAAAGGTTGGCAACACACCTGTCTCTGGTGTTGCGGGTGTCCATGGGCGGCGCTGATCGCTTACCATCAGGTGATCCGTCTGCTCGTTTGCCTCCTATTCCATAAAAAAATATCTACTTATCATTATCATTCATTACAAGAATTCATTATCATATCATAATCAATTCATTACGTATCAATTATCATCCGTAAAATTCTATGTCATGTCATAAATTCACTATCGCAAACAGATAAACATACAAAATAGATAAAACAAATATAAACATTCGCGCCTTTTTTGTCTGCCTTCAAAATGACATCACAATAACAAAAAAAAAAACAATAAAGTATTTATTTAATTTAGTATTGGAATCATCCACCGAAACAAATTACTACTTTTTATGTATTTATTTTGTTTTTTTTTTATTTTTTTTTCACATTTATTTTTAAATTTTTGTATTAAGGCAAAGAGTTACTTTCATTATAGTTTTTTATAAGTTTTAATTTTAAGTGTGAATTGTCAAGTTGACTTGTAGTTAAAGAGCTTTAAAACCTTCAGTTAACAGTCCACTGCTGCACTATGAGCCTCCTCTAGAGGTACATAAGATGGGTTTGTCATAATCTCCGCAGGCAGGCAGATTTTAGATCGCAGTATAAAAGGTTCAGGTTTATCAGGGAGCGCTGCTGCACGGTCTCTGTCAAATGTCAGTTCCTTATTCGGTTATACGACACCCGCGGGAAGTAGTAGGGGAGCCCATGATGCTAAATTGGGATTTACTTGAGCGTCCTTGGGACCTACTGGATTTTGAAGATACGCTGATAGAAAGAAGAAATGGTTTAGTGACAATTTCTTCCACCAGTGGGGGAAGGGGGAATCTACAGATCTTTGAAATTGTTAAGCGTAACTTTTGTTCTAGTGGTCGAGCGTGTCAGATATTGATAATGTACATGCTCCATGTGTATTTAATAATAAAAAACTCTTAATCTGCCAGTTTGCATGGTGGGGTTGAATGTTCTGGAGAGTACAAACGAGAACCCTTCAAAATCCCCCCACTCTTGCAAATCAAGTTGGAATGGGCAGATTTTCTAAACGCACTTCCTTTAGCACGGTATTGACCTACCTTCCCTTAATCTGACGAAACTGACTTTATTTAGTCAGACTTTTTTTTTAATTTTCAGTCCCCCCCTTCAAATATGTTGGGTATATTCAACATGACACTAGGTTTTCCCCATATGTTAATCTGACGCGCTCGAGTAACTACCGAAATCCCTTCATGGGCTCCCCTACTAAAGAGTAGCGGTGGTGGTGACAAATGTGTTCTATTTTGCTTTTAAATGGAAAATATTATCTTGATGCTCTTTAACTATTTAAGTCCATTTGTGTGAGGTATGGAAATCTCAGAAACTATTTAAAGATTATAATTATTATTAAAAAATTAGGATATATTTGTAAACGTGTGTGCTTCAAAATGATATTATTACTTTGTATATTATAGATTTTTTATATATTGGCGATATTTTTAGTACCTACAAATAATATTTGCAAAGTGATATGAAACTTGAATATTTGATTTTGAACTTTATTCCGTTGGAATAAGGGTGCCTGTAAACGCAAATGAAACATTGCACTATACTTTATGTAGTTTTTAACCATTTTTGAAGTCCTGTACGAATTTGTCGCCAATTTATAAAACCATTGCTTGTGTATACTGCCTCTGCAGAATTTTTTGTACGTACAAAATATAAAGTTTAGTATAAGACTTTTAAATATATTATCGATGTCTAAATAATGTCTAATTCATTGTTATCATAACTCACTGCCTGAAAAACTGCACAAAACTGTTTATTCTTAATAAATAAATAACGCAAAACTTTTCTATAAAAACTATATCATATATAATGCCATCTAGCGGTCGTATATAGAATTTGTAATTCTAGTTCTGGACACTAGATGGCGGCATTTTAATTTTATGTTTTACGTACGTAATATATTTTTTCATTTGTTTTGAATTTGAATTTAAATAAATACAGCTAATATTAATATTATGTCTATTTAGTGAACTCTAGTTCCTAATGATATCAAAAATTTTGAAAGCCTAAAGTATTTTAATAGTTCGCAATCTATCGCAATTTAAAAAAATACATCAAATAAAGCGCAATATTTCGGAACTGTACAAAATATTTTGGGCTTATCTATCATTAAAACTTATATAAAATATCATAATGTAAAAACACACAGTATCTCTATTATTTTAGATATAAAAATGAATTTATTTTTACTAGTAAACAAAGTCAGGAGTCATATAAACATCGTGAAGAGATAAATTTAATTATTTTCGTATTTAACAAACTTCAAGCAACAAGTCTCAAGTCCGATTCCTGAGTCGGGCAAAATATTTCTTAAATGATGTTCCAAAATTTTGCCAAAGTCCGGCAACGCACTAGTGACACCTCTAGTCTTGCGGGACATGGACACCCATCCATGGGCGGCGCGGTGCTTACCATCAGGTGACCCGTCTGCTCGTTTGATCTATCATTAATAAAAACAACTCTCAGTAATTACATGAAGGGGTATGGCAACAGACTCACCCCCTATTACATGGGGAAAACCTTTTCAACGATAAAATAATTAAAATTACTTCTTCATATAAAATATAATTATCTACTATCAACACAAATCCGTCCAGATGATGTAAGTATACTGAATATGAAAAGTTTAATTTAAAAATATATTATTTTTGTAATTTAAGTTTAAGTTTTTTCATAAAATATTGTGCTATACATAGGTGCTTAGTTCAGTAGAGATATGAAGATTTTTTATTAAAATAATAAAAAATTATAATATGACTAAGTTTTTTATAACTTTTAATTTTTTACTGATTTTTTTTTTGCATTTTGACAGGTTTTTTAAAAGAATTTATGAAGTAATATTGTCCCATTGGTTTTATGATTGTAAGCGCATGTTCTAAGCTAGAACTGTTACATTCAATTCTCGGGTTGAGTAATCTATTATTAAAATCTTTGTAACTACTTAACTGACTTAAATAAATATCTCATTCTTATACAATCCCAAAAAAACGTTGTCAAAGTGTGAAAAAAGTAATAACTTTTGTATAAACCATATTCCCACAGCTGTTCACAAATGACATTATATAGGAAGTCCTCGCATCGCTGTACACAGATTATATTATTGTACCAATATTTCATATTTATTGAAAAGCATTTCGTGTACTTACAATATTTTTCTCTTGTACCTATTTCTTAAATTAAATAAAAATGTGTCATTTTTATCAAATTCGTTTTATTTTTTACCTGTTTCTATGTTGGCTATGACACAAATTGATATAAGCCAAGGACACTAGGAAACAAATGTTCCAAGACGTGTATCGGGGATCGGCGACATGTCGAGCGAAGCCGGCCGACGTCGCCTGATATATACGATGCCAACGCGCAACTTATGTCCACAGCGACGTTAATGTTGCCAGACATTTTTAATGGGACAAGCCCGCCACAACCTCCCAAAACCGCTGCAACTCCTGTAAGCCAGGATTTACAGTAGATACAACCATGAAAACACCGGAACACTGAAGTCCGGCGCGTCCCAGAGACGTGAATATCTGTCTTGGTTCCCGCAACGAAGTGAATCAGAAGATATTATAAGAGGAGAAGACAAAAATGATAGTTTGCTGAATACATGTTGATAGAATACATGTTGCCAGACATGTCGACCAAAGTCCGGCAACGTCGCGATACTTCACCCAACGTCGCTGGAGACACGGGTCGCAGGACATTTGTCCCCTAGAGTATTCCTGGCTTTATGATTATCATTATTGCTCGACTTGTTCCTGATATGATCGGTTGGTGCTTTGGCTAGGCAACCGGCAGCCATGCAATGTGTAGCGGATTTGATTCCCGCACGAAGCAACTGTGTCTGGGTCTGGGTGTGATGTGTATGTGACAGGAAACAAATCTAGTATGGGGCAACATTAAAAAAAAGCTATATTGGCTACCATTTTCCGGTTACTATATTTGGTAAATTACCTCTATACCTGTGCTATAGTACGATTAACTATATCTATGAAAAATCATATCTACAATAAATAGAGGTAGTTCCCAGGAAAAATTCCACTCAGGGTTGTAATAAGTATAAAAACAGATTTTAGTAGAAAACAACTTTACATTGGCGATGAGTCATTGTTTAAAAACAAAATGATGTTAAGAATTTTGATTTAATAAGTGCCGCCATTTTTAATCAAGATCAGGCAAAAAACGTTAAAATAATACTTAATTACTTAATCTACCTAATCTTTTTATTTTACTATAAAGAAACATGGTTAGTATTTTGGTTATTTAACAATCTGTCAAGTCAAATTTAGGAAATCATAATAAAATTCATTTGCAATTTTGATAGTTTTCGACTCCTCTAAACATTAGTATTCTTATAAAAGCTTCCAAAAGTGGTAGTTTTTTGTAATTATAACCTTGCCACACCAATCTTATCGATTTGATTTGACATTTACGAAGTTGTCAAATTCTCGAGACTTATTTCAAAACTTGAGAAATTCGTAAATAATCGAGTTTTTTAGTTTAAATAGTTTCCTAAACGGTATAACCTTTTACAATAATCATTATTAATGATGAACTAAGGCAAAGAAAACGTCCAAACGTCGAAACGACCATGTGAATTGTTACAACAGTGTATAATTCGGTTTTTTTAAGTTCTGCCCTTTAAACTCAAGCAAAATGTCTAAGAAGAAAGGAAAAAAGAATGTACTGCAAGGTAAATGCGACTATTTTTTGTATAACAATTTGTCTACCGGCTGGCCCAGCTATGACAGCTGCGTGTTATACCCTTTTTTTGTTTTTTTTTCTTTGCATTTTTTCTTTTTATTTTCAGCTTAGGATAGTTGTTGTTTTAGCATAGACCGATGCCGACCACGTTCTAATAATAAATATAATTATTTGTAAAGTATTATTTCATAAGTGACATTTCCAACTGGAATGAGATGTTAGTACCTTATCTCACATAATTTTGTAATAGGTCTAATAGGTTCTATCATATTTTAAGTATGAACTTTTAATAAAGCAAGTACAAGTAAGATTTCAACAGTCACTTGAGTGAAGAGTCAATCATACTTGCCTCAATAAGTAATTTCATTTATTATTTATTGCTTTGTAAGGAAATATTTGCTATTTTCTGTCCACCCACAAGCTGGACATCAACTTATATATATATAAGGTTGCAGATAGTCGCTGTATGCAAAAGGCTTACTCTTGAATCCAATTCCGATCAATTAATATTGGTATTGTGTAATTTTGTACTCTTGAGTTGCAACACTAGCTCCCATTGCATCTGTATTGCGCGGATAATTAATGAACTAAATTATATTGAGTTTCGCTGTATATTCCGTATTCTACATGCTATTTTAACAGCTATGGTAGGGATTGTCTAGTTTTGACATTGAATAATTATTGAGATTTTATTGGATTGAAATTGCATTGACATTGAGATTGGTTTCAAGTAGCGCCTCCAACCTAGCGATGTGTAGTCATTGGGGGAGGACTGTGGGAGGCAGTGGACAGAGCGCAGCTATTTTTTACATGACAGAAATGCCAGGCTACCATTACTATGCATCCAATATATCAGGAAATACTATGCATCCTATAATAATCACAAATATGTTAAAAAGATACATAGGTGTTTAGCAGTATATTTATTTTATGTTGCACCTGCTTGTTGCTTGCACTCTCATTTCTTTCTGAATAAGGTCGAAAATTGTGCATAATTTTATGACCAACTTTGTCAACCTTTTCTAATAGGTTGTGGTCATCTCAGAAGAGTATGAATGACTGACAACACTACTGCCATCTAGCTTCTGCGTACCATAAACTGGGCATTACCGTTATAAAGGTAAGAGCCGTCTGAATTTCAGGATTAGTCATGTAAATAGTCTTCTGCCAGCAGCTTCGCTCACGTTTCCGTGAGATAAAAGGCCTATGTGGTATTCCAAACCATAGTCTACCCCGGTTCCAAATTTCATCCCGATCTCTTCAGCCGTTTTGACGTGAAGGAGTAACAAACAAACATACTTTTCGTGTTTATAATATTAAGTATTTTTTATTTATTTATTTATTCATAAACAAATTTACATTTGTGTCGAATACGGTTTTGAACCAAAATTAAAAATAATCACATAAAAATCAAGAAACTCAGGTAAAAGCAATAAAATTCAATTAAAATAAAACATAATCATACATAAATTAAATACATACATAAATAAAAACTTCATTTAACTTACTAATAATTTCAAAACAACATACGAGTAATTTAATTACATGTCAACAAACAATTTAAATGTGTCAGATTGGAATACTAAATATAAAATAAGTCACTAGTATAATCTCAATTTTAGTATCAACTATGTTTATCTTTCAGAAACTCCTCAATGCTGTAATAACATTTCCTCAATAACAATGTCTTTAATTTTCTCTTAAACTCATTTAGATTAGTGGAGCTTTTCAATTGTACAGGCAGCTTATTGTAGATATTTACTGATTGCACTCTTGAAGCATGTTTAACGACATTAAGTTTAGGCTGTATGGAAGTAGGGAAATATCAGTGAATTTTCAGCACTACATAAGATATTATGCTGAAAATCAACTGAATTAGTGTCAATTATAAGCGTATCTAGTTCCTGAATGTCATGTAAACATCATAATCTATCAAAAACCATACAATAATTATTAAAACTTAAATCTTTCCAGATTTTACTCTCAATGATTGTGCAAACGCACCAAAACCAGTTCGAGAAATAAGGAAACCAGCCATTATAAGCCCAACCATGGAACGAAGCTGGGACGAACTAGATGATGACTCCGAAGTAGAAACCGAAGTACAGAATGGCCTAATAACACTAGTATACAAAAAGAATAAAAAGAAAAATGGAGAACTACCTTTAGACAACCGACCGGGCAGAGAATACCCTGAAATTATATTCTACCTCCTTTCAAAGTACATTAAACCCGAAGACATAGCTTCATTCGCAAGAATAAACAAATCATCATACTTGGTAACTAAAACTAAAGCGTTCTGGACACTGCAATACAAACGTTACTGCGAAAATCATCCAAAATTGCCTGAGAAACTGCGCTTTGAGAGTTTAAAGTCCTATGGCTTGAGACAGACGGTTATAAGGGCTCTGTATCATACTTATGATATTTTGAACTATCGGATTGTTCGGAAGGAAATTCCTCCACAGCGGCTTGTGAGCTGGGTCTGCGTGAATGTGTGGTATAATAGAGGGCTGACGTATTGGAATGTGTACTTCAAGTTGAAGAGACCACAGATGTATGGTCACCGGTCTAATTTGGACAAAGATTTGATCGAAGAGATGGGACGCATTGATGCTAATCCCGAGGAAGGGGCTCAGGTTTTGATGGTATGTATTATTTTTATTGAATAGGTTGGCAAAGTAGCAGTCAGATCACCTGATGGTAAGCAAACAGCGTCGCCCATGGACACACACAAGACAAGAGATACTACTGTGTTGCCGGCTTTTTAGGGATTTGGGGATTAAAGATTGGGGGATTTGAGAATGTGCGCACGTTGTTTTGGCGTCTGGTAACCTCAGTCACACGATGCGTTAGTGTTCACCAAGTGGTGCTAATTTAACTCGACGTTTGATTTTGATCGATCTAGAATGTAATATTAAGATCCAATTTGAGATCCTTAGACACAAAACATAAACTTACTACGCCCTGTGTCTGCGCTAGGCACAACAAAAATCTGGTTGCCAAAATTACTTGAACAAATCTATGAAATACAACAACTCAAACGAAACGATCAAAGCTATGAACTACATATCCTCACGCCTGTCTCACACGAGGCAGCATCTCCCAGGCAGAGACTATGGATCGCCAATTGCTACGATTTTTACATACCTCTTCCGCTTCTACAGTCATCAGTCTTTTCATGCATGCTCGTCGGTTTAGGGTACTTTTAATTTGGCCCTTCTTTAATGTATCGGTCGATATATCTAGGGCGCCCTCTACCGACGGTCCCATTTCTATCCACTCATACTTCTTTCATAAATCTGCTTTCATTTCATCTATCCTTAATTAATACCATCTTCAAAAATTTCCAGGTAACATGCAAAGGGTTCGACAGGATCCCGCCGTTACAAGGCATGACGCTGTCAGCGGTGAGCATGGTACTATCGCACGGGTACAGACACCATACCCTATACCTGGGCTTCAGCAGTTCCTGCTACACAGTCAAAGGTATAGTGCCAGAATGTGAAATTATTCTAGATGCCGTTGTCAGAGCCCTTGTCTGCGACTGGTGGCACCCTCAGTATCCCCATTCAGGTAATTTTGTACCACGACAGGATCCGCCGCTGTTGTTGAAGGATTTTTTTGATGATGACGATGCGTCGTGAAGCTTTAGGTTCTGTTATGTCGAAATACTGAAATGCCACTCAACTTTAAGTCGGGCTTAAGCATAGTATAGTTCTGTCTCGACAGAGATGGCACGATATTTGAGTATTAAAATTGAGTAGTCTTTTAGTATTCGGTTAATAATGCTTTGTTACAATTTTTTTGCCATTTTTACTTGTCATATATGTGTCTTATATAATGGTATAGTGTTTCGATATTTTTGATTCTTTTTTTTTTATTACTAAATGAAAATCCCACGTGATTCATTGTTAAGACTATTAAGGTATTTTTCTTTAGATGTTTGTCTAAAAAACTCGCGCAGCTCATTATTTATGACTCTATAAGCCTCGCGAGACTCCTTTTAAGTGCCAAGCTGTGAGCTCAAATCGTTCAAACCTAGCTATGACGGGTGAAAAGTCAATGTTACATTTTATTGTCTCTCTGTCCACCTCTTTGAGGATTAAACGGGGTGATATTTTAGAGCTTCTTTGGTCAATGGGGGCTACCATTTCTTTGGTGACCATATAGCGCTAATATAGCAAAAGATCAGATTGTTCAGTCACTGCAGCTGTCAACAATTGAATGTCAATTTTGTGACACTCGCTTATTCTCTGTTGACCGAAAACTAAGGGGCACTAGTGCTATCTGGTTAGAAAGAACGGTAATCCCTATTGGTCGGGCGATATCTGGATTGAGTAATGTATAATTGAGATTTTCTTCAATTTCAAAATTATAATAACCATTGTGAGACATACTAAATTAACTAAAATCGCGGGTTACTCACGTGACTCAGAGTGAACTGCGCGACGTCGCCGCGACCGCGCACGCTGCTCATGAGGAAGAACCCCTCTGTGGTTCGAAACTAGTAGATCTTTTCTCAGTATATTCACGTGAGTAACCCGCTATTTTAGTTAATTTCAAAATTATCAAATCTGGAATCAGCTAAATATTGCAATTTTTTACATTCACTGTTTTACAGTTAGTATTTCCAAAAAAATATATAATTATACCTATATGGTATTGAAACTTAACAACGATTTGTTGTATTCAATTGAAAAACAGGTTTTTCAAAATAACATTTTTCGTTTAAGTATAATTCATAGTGTATTTCTTTTTATAGTTAAAAATTCTCCAACTGTTGTCTATGTATAAGTTTAAGAAAAGTCAATGTTTCTATCCAATGTTAATGTTTTCCAAAAATATAATAATATTATGTCAGTAGGTGCCTGTTTAAAATATTGTCAATTTTGACTTCTGTGGTTGTTGCTACCGTTTTCAATAACTTGTTTCAAAATGTCTGATTAAGTTTTTGTTCAGCCCATATTTTTATTTTCCATACGAAATGTGTCAAATGATATGTAGTATGACTGACTGTTTAACAGGGTACCTCGACTAGCTTCAAGCCACACTTGGGGCTCATATTCATGAGCATTTTTGCCCAAACGAATGAGGCGGCCAGCGTCTCATAGCTAACTACTAAACTAGTCGAGTTCCTCGTCAAATAGTTATGAGAATAGGCCGTTAAAAATAATTAATTTAATTCTTATATTTCACGAGAGATATAATAAAAAATAAACTATATATCTCATTTAAAATAATAGTAACTTAATCTAATATTTTGAAACAGAATCTAAATGTAATAGAGAATTAAAAAGAAAATTTAAAAAGAATATATTGATGTTGTAAATTTGAATATTTTTAAATGTTAACTGTCACAATTTCTATTAGAAAATTTTCGACCAATCAGAAACCCTATCCGTAGCTGTCAATTTTGTCTAGTACAAAAAATCTCTTTATATACAATATTTATAACTATTATATATTGTATTATATTAAATGTCTATTACGATATTAACTGCCGTACTTGGAGACATTGAATGATCACTTAAAGTATTCGTTAGTAACGATTGTATTCCGAAAACAATGTAATAAGGATTGGGTTGATCAGCGACGGCGACCTCTTGTGTCTGGCCCTAGTCCGGGCCATGATGGGGAACGATGAGGACTGGGATGCCGTCTCCTCCTTTCGCGAAGCAGTCATGGTAGCTAAGGTGAGGCAGCGAAGCGCTGCCTCCTCACAACCCCGTCGTCGCGAAGAACACTCTGGACGTCAGGGTTCACGAGACGATCTCCGGCCACCGTAGGCACGGGCCTCCGGACGGCAAAGCATGGGTAGCTTGCCGTCCGACCAGAACCAGACCCGAGCGTACGGCGCGTCGCGTTCCTCGTGCGCCTCCAAGAGCCGTCATACCACCACAAATGGGGCTCAGGAGGGCTGATGACGATACGGAGCCGCGGAGAACGTTAACGGTTACCGGGGCTCCGGCTCGAAGTGCAGGAGTAGGAAAGGGGTGGTTTTAAGTCAGTAAGAGTCTAACAATTCCTCGCGCCTCACCCAGGCGGGAGAAGTCATTCGATGATTTTCCCCCCTTAAAAAAGGACTGGGTTAAGTGACCACTAAATGATTCTGAGTACGACGGCTACAATACTTGGGTCTGAAATTATATTTATAAAGATTAAAACTTTGTATATAAAATCTTTGTCTACATCTGTACCTTCTTTGGTGTAGCGGGTGTCATTTGTCCTTTATCCCTTAAAAAATACAAGTGAAAAAAGTTTTTTTAAACTGGCAACACATTTCATACCTCTGGTCTTAAAAACGTCAGCCAAGTAATTTAGTATACAGGTAAAAACAAAGATAGATTCAGTACAGAGACAGTAGCCATCGATTGTCTAGAGCCGACTGAGTTACACAAGATATGGCTTCGTTACAAAGCGTACAATATAGTATAACAATAGCTACTATCTCTGTACTGAATCAATCTGTATTTTCAATAAAAAATATCATAAAATTAGGTGTAAGAAATGGAAACAAAAATAGTACATTTGTAAAATATATCCTGTAATACATTATGTAAATGTATTTTTTAATTATAAGTGTGAGAAAAAGACTTGGTGTACATAGGTCAAGTTGGTTATGGTTTGGATCAAAAATGGGTGCTAAAAGCAAATTACTCAATGCTAGGAATAATGGCGGTGACAGAACCAAAATCTTTGTATTGATTTTTGACATTAAATTGTTTAGGGAACAGCGAGTTGAGTCCTTAAGAAAAGGAGGGTCTTCCGACCAGGCGAGGTGATCAAGCCTGGCGGGCTTTCTCCCCAATAGATATACTCCGTAGTCGTCTCGCCGTCCCTGACTTATGGGCGCGAGGTCGCACGAACCAGGCCGATGCCTGTTTCGGCGGTATCCGGTCGCTGCCTGCGTCTACACTTCTGCAGGCGAGGGGTTGGAATAGTAGATGCAGCGCCGTGTTAGGTGATTTGCGCCGCTATGAGCCGCGCTCGGCTCAATAGTTATTCGTTGGGATTGTTTATCCATGTCAATTCGCATGTAAACTTCGCACGTGGATATAGGAGCGTCATCTGACTTCCGACATCGAGTTGCCACATTTGTTTGGGGTTTCTGTCAATTATTGATCCAGAGATTTTGGATTCGCACTGGTTAAGAAGTTATCATTCTTAATAGAAAATGTATTTGATTGCCAACTTGTAAAGTTCTAAACAATGATACTATAATTAAAAAGATGTAGTTAGGTTATATGCGCTCAGCAAGGACGTTAAAAATGGCGGACGTAATGTCACTTAGAAATGATCGAAGCACCAAAATGTCAGTGGTGTATTTATGTGTGCTTGCAACACCGTAATGTATGAAGTGTAATGACGGGACATGTCACGCGACAGATGTCCTTCGTGCCAATGTGTGTGTATGTTCTGCGTGTGATTCTATAGTAGCCAGGTGCCACAGTCGTTGTTTCAAGAGACTATGTCCACCTATTTGCAACGTCCTTTTGGCTACACGTTTAAAAAAATCAAACACAACCTCCTTATTTTTTTAAAGTTAGTTAATAATAAAATCGATTAATATAAAACCAGGGCTGTCCAAACTATATACCCTCGCGGGCTAATTACATTTCTTACAAAAGCTGAAGGGCAAGAAAAATGTTTTCAGTTGTATAATGACGTTTAACATTGTATTCTTTACTCACAGACTGAACTTGTAGACAAATCATACACTGAATTTTGTTATTATTGTTGCACATTAGATGAAGATGTTGAGATTAAAATGTGTGTCGCGGGCTACAGGAAAACAAGCCGCAAAGCAGGCCTTTGTTTGGACAGCTCTGATCTATACTAAAACTTGTTCCTAAAGTGTAATTAACACAAAACTGATTCGAAATCGGTTCAGCTAATCGCGAGAAAATCGCGGACAACAGACATACACACACAATTCAAACTAAGATTTAGAACTTTTTTGAAGTCGGGTAAAAATGTGACTAGCCTATAGCCATATTTGACCACAGTGTATTCATGTATTTTTTTTAATGTTGTATAGGCAACTTATCTACCTTTTTACTTATAATATTATTTGATTCTAAACATATTGTTGAAAATTCAGGCGAAGGCAACGATTATTAGTTATGACCTCTAGTGTTTCAGTAATTCTTCTTAAAGAGGTGTCTAATGCAAGTTTGTTTTACAAATGCTTTGACTCTGACTTTGATTTTGGCTAGTCGACTTACGATTATGTTAATATTAGGTAATTATCATGGTCTAAGAGACATTGTCATTATTTTTCAATAGTATGTTTCAGAATTTAAAAATTATACGACATTTTAGGGAACGGAATTGTGATGTTTATGATATCGGAAAGAAGGGTCAATGTTAGATAATTATAATAAATAAAACTCGATTTCTGTAAAACTGATTTGTCTAAGTAAAGCGGACCTGAGAACCTAACGGGTAACCCGGGCTCCGGCTCGACGTGCAGGAGAAGGAACGGGGTGGTTTTTAGTCAGTAAGAGTCTGACACTCCCTCCCGCCTCACCCAGACGGGAGCAGACATTCGATGATTTTCCCCCCTTAAAAAAACAAGATACACTAGCGACATCTATTGGCAAAAAAGCTGTAGCTCTAATTGGTGAAAAGTGATGGTACAGCTACTTTAAGTATGCATACTACTACTTTTTTGAGGGAGACAATCTAATGACTTCTCCCCTCCTGGGTGGGGCGACAGAGAGTGTCAGAGTCTTACTGACTAAACACCACCTCATTCCTACTCCTGAAAAACCCGAGCCTATGTCGTCTGCGGCTCCGGTGTTTATACTAATACTGCCTTCTTCATCGATAATTAATAGGGTTATATTATATCGATCAGTTTTTTAGAAATCTAGTATACGTGTGAGCTGTGTATCTATGCAATGTATGTTGTAGAATGATTGTTTTTATTTAAGTAGGTATAACTCATTAAAATATTATGTCAAAATGTCTCTTTGAAGTGTTGAGAAATATAAAAATTAAAATCGTTCATTCGTTTGCAAAGATGGGTATATTATATAGGTGTTAACAAAGTTTACTGCCTCGTTGGCCGAGTGGTCGCAAGTGCGACTGCCGGGCAAGGGGTCTCCATAAGAGGTTTACATAACATAAATAGTGAAAAGTGGGTGTTACATTGTACAGTGGCATTAAGTGCCGTAATGTGCACCTCTGCCTTTCGGGCAAAAAGGCGTGATGATGTTATGTTAACAAAGTTTATAGTTTCTCCATATTTTAAAATTCAAATTCTTTTTTGTTTAGGGACAAATATTATTTTGTTCTAGTTTTTATAGACCACTGTTCTAGGGTCATATATTGTTGTAGTTTTTATTTTTATAATTCTCAGCTCTTGTAGTTATTTATGTCAAATTTTAAAAATGTTGATGTTGTAGCTAGCAATTAAAAAAAATATA